TAGTAGAGATGGGTTTTACTTATGTCCGACAGGCTGCTCTGGAACTCCTGACCTCTGGTGATCTGCCTGCCTTGGCCTCCCAAAGTGCTGGGATTACAGGCCTGAGCCACTGAGTACGGACTCCACACTTTCAAACAACTAGATCTTGTGAGAACTCTGTCATGAGACAGTGCTAGGGGGATGGTGCTAAATGATTAGAAACCACCCCTGTAATCCGATCATCTCCCACCAGGCCCCACCTTCAAGTTCCTTCACAAAATGGATTATTCCAGGGCTGATATGGGAAAAGATGACCATGGAACATCTTTTGTGCCAAAACATAAGGAAGTTTATGAAGAATGACAAGGACATGTCAAAAGGACACAGAAGGCAGATTGAAGGGGCTTCTACTAGCCAAATCTGGGATATCTTGAGCATCAAAATGAAAATGTTTGTGATGGATTATTACTTATTGGATAAGGCAGGAAACCGTAAGCCCATACTGAAATAAATCAACTTAAACAAATAAAACATTTGATATGGGATGAGATTTTTACATAATTTCAAAGTATTTTTCTAGAAACTAATAACAAGAAATGTGATGGTATAAAGGAGAATTCTGGTAGATAGTATTTTAAGCAAATGACCTAAGTGAATATCATCAGTAATGGGACAAATCAAAACTATGGTTATTCTGTGTGATTCCTGTCCAAAGATGCATAACCCGAATCTAACCCAGAGGAAACATAAGAGACCCAAATTGACAGACATCTACAAAATAACTGGCCTGGATTCTTCAAAAGTATCAAGGCTATGTGAAAGTCACAGGAAGACTGAGAAATGGTTCCAGATTGAAGGAGACATAAAAACTAAATGTAACATATGATTCTGAACGAGATCCTTTTGCAAAATGGGCATTATTGGGATGCCTGGCCAAACTCAAATGGTGTCTGAGGATTCGATGGTAGTAATATAAAATATTAATTTTTCAATTTTCTCTGCTTTTGACAGTTATGTTGAGGTTCTGTAGAATGTCCTTGTTTGTGGGAATTGCACACTGAAGTACTTGGGGATGAGGGGTCTCCTGTCAACAACACACTTATAACTGGTTCGGGAAAAGAAGATTTGGTATTGTGCTTCCACCTTTTCTATAAGCTTCAGATTGTTTCAAAGAAAGAAAAGCATGTGACCCTAAGGGGCCTATTTATTGTAATAATTAAGTAGTAAGAACGTTGCACTAAAAATGTGTGCTGGTGGTGGTGTTTGTTGTGGGGCACGTGTGTGTTTGATGCTATTTTGTGTGTGCCCCTGACACCTGACCATCACCCAGGCCTGGCACTCATGACCCATCTGGAGCCAAACCTTCTCCTCCTTGGTTTGTCTCTTTAGACACTGGGGCCCATCTGAAAGTTCAATATAGTGTGGGTAAATGCCCATAGTTGATGTGGCCAGTATATTTGTAAAACCTTTAATATCTTTGAACTACATCTAATTTCTAACTTTCTATTGCTTCTGGTGATCCCAATTTCAGGGACCTAGGAGATACTGAATTTAAATTACAAGGTTATTAAATATTTTAGCACTTAAGACTAACGATGGGCAAGGATTTTTCTTTTCTAAACACTTCTATATAGTTACTTGTATAACATGGTAAAGAAAAGGTGACATTTTCGTGAAATGGTTTTCCCATGCATCGTTAATCAAGCTAATATGAACTGTAAGCAATATCTGTTGCTTACATTCTCACCATCAGCTATCCTGCCTTTTAAACTTTCTTGAAATTATTTCTAGCTATTAATCTGTACTTGTAAATAACAAAACTCAGTTAAACTGAACCGCAGGTATCTGGTCCTCCATAGCTCCCTGCAGGGAGGGGATAGAGGCTGTAGAGCAGGTGGAGGTGAAGGGAGTGGGAGGGAGCAGGCATCTCATCATTCAGTTCTGATCTTCCTTGTCCTTCCCTCGTCTTCCATTCTCCAAGATTAGTTGAGTGTCAGTTACATGTCAGGCAGGGTAATGGCACTGGAGAGCCAATGATGAAACAGATACACTCTGGGCCTTTTCAGGAGCACTGAATTTGTAGGGAGAGAGACTGCTGAGCTAGGAATTCAAGAATATTCTGGCCGGGTATGGTGGCTCACAACTGTAATCCCAGCCCTCAGGAGACCAAAGTGGGCAGATCATGAGTTCAGGAGTTTGAGACTAGCTTCACCAATATGGTTAAATCTCATCTCTACTAAAAATACAAAAAAACAAAAAAAAAACAGGCTGGTTTCGAACTCCTGACCTCAGGTGATCTGCCCACCTCAGCCTCCCAAAGTGCTGAGATTACAGGCATGAGCCACCGCGCCTGGCAGGTTTTATTTTTTATTTTTCTTACCATGCTTATGCTTCGCTCTGTCTTCTCAAACACACGGAGAACATTGATAAGTCCCATTTCACATCCTTGTCAGCTAATTCTATCATTGTTTCCCTGAGAAAACATCTGTTTTTCTGACTTTCCCTTTTTGTTAAGATGAAAAATTTAATATTACTAAGATCTCCTCTTGGTGTACTTAGTAATCTTGAAAGTTGCACTAAGTTATCAGTGGAGTATCAGAAAATAAGACCTTTGGAAAAAGATCTAAATATATTTAGCTCAATAGCACTCAATGCAATATGAAATCACAGTTGATATTGGACAGAAAATTTTAAGGAACAGAAATTCAATCTCTCATGTCAACATACACATCAGATCCAAACCATAATTTACCATGCACTGACTTCTTCCTGTTTTTCTAAAGAGGATGTTTAAAAGTTTGAGCTGAATTATATGACAGAATATAATTGCATTTTCCACAAGTTTTTAATTTAAATAGCCTACATGTTAAAACAAGAACCTCTTAGATTTACTTAAGAGTTTTACATAAACACAAAAAATGTTCTAGAACAACCGATTCAATTTTAGAAGCACCATGTCGACACATAGCCTTTAAAAGATATTAAAATTTTATAAAGTATACATGCAGCTTAATCTTTACTTACTTGTTTTTGAGCACTTTTTCATTTAAATTATTTTCTTCAAACTCGACCTGAAATAGAAACAGCTATCTCCACCAATAGAACATTCAAGCTAGGGCAGGATGAAGATAAGGCTTGAATCCAGAGGTCCTGGGTAATTCCTTGGCTAATATTTTCACCAGGCTACAGCTAAAATCCAGCTTCCATGGGTAGAGAGGAGTGTTGTCATTTGGTCATTTCCACCAAATTAAAAACTTATTGCTTTCACTGAGTTAAAATGGAATCCTGCTTAAGCCAGAGTCAGTCAAAACTCACACACACACACACACACACACACACACAATTAGCCAAGTGCCTGTAACCCCAGCTATTTACTCTAGCCTGAGTGACAGAGTGAGACTCTGTCTCAAAAAAAAAAAAAAATTATAATACTTTCCACAAAAGAAGTCAGGCCAGGCGTGATGGCTCATATCTGTAATCCTAGCACTTTGGGAGGCCGAGGCAGGGGGATCACTTGAGGTCAGGGGTTCAAGACCAGCCTGGCTACCATGGTGAAACCCCATCTTTACTAAAAATACAAAAATTAGCCAGACATGGTGGCAGACGCTTGTAATCCCAGCTACTTTGGAGGCTGAGGTGGGTAAATTGCTTGAACCAAGGAGGCAGAGGTTGCAGTGAGCTGAGATCGTGCCATTGCACTCCAGCCTGGGCGACAGAGTGAGACTCTGTCTCTAAATAAATCAATTAATTAAATAAAGCAGACAAAACCCAATCAGCAACAACAAACTCCCCTGTATGCTACGCTGAGGAGTTCGGACTTTCTTCTAGGATGATGGGATGTCAGGGGAGGGTCTGCTGGAGGCACCCATGATCACTTTGCTCCCAGCACAGGGATTCTGTGATTCTCAGGAGCAGGAAGGAACTGCCTGACCCCTGTATGCTGTGAGAATTGTCACACTCTTGCTTCACTGAGCTCTCTGCTCACACATTACCTCTTCCTGTCCTGTCTAACCTCATGAAAACAACATGCCCAAGACTTTCTACTCCTCATCTGCCTTTATTTTTCCACCTAGAACCTCCCAAGTATTTCACTTATCTGTGTGTTGTCTCCCCCACAGGTGTATAAATTCTATGACACCAGCGACTTTGTCTTATTACTATCGGTCCTCACGGTGCCTTGTACTGTGCCAGCCATATAGAAAATGCCTGTAGATTCCTGAATGAGTGAAGAGTGATGCAAATCTCCCACAAATCACGGTCCAAGACCTTGGAAACACAGACTCAGATTCTAGAACGAGAACTTTGCAGTCCCTAAGGGGCTCTTGCAGCCCAGGTTGAGAGATGGTGAATAAGAAGTCTCAAGAGGCTCTCTAAGCAACAACAGCTTTCCAAACGAGTTGGCAAATCCCAACCCTTACAATTCTGTTTCTGTCTGTTCCCCAGAGCCAGCCTTTGATAACGGAAAGGCAGGGCTGAGATAATGTTCTATTTTAGGGCTGTTAGAACTTAGCCAAGGATCTCACCAGGGCAAGAGGAAGAAGCCTAGATCTTTCCTCTAAAATGCAGTCCAAAGCGAGAGCTTGGACTAGAAAAGCTGGTGTTTTCCTGAATGCCCATGAGACCTCAAAATGGGCGGGCCATGTCCTTCAGGAGATCACATGGGTCTCATGATGTCTCAGCCTTAGCATATCATCTTCAACTTCACAGCATCTTCCAGGCTAGGCTCTGAAGCGACATAGGGCCGTCATGGTACAGTAGTGCCTTCATCAACAAGCTTCCTAGACGAGTGTCCCTCTTGGGGGTAGTTCTTTGGATCTCTAGCAGTCTACTGATGTAGAGTGGCCAGAGTCCAGAAACTTCACGGAATGGGGTCACGTCTTCTGCTTTCCTAAGTCACATGGCTAGAATCACCTTAAATTACTAGGAAAACAGACAAATCTCAATGATCTGAAAACTGGTGGCCTTGTTTCTAGGTCTTTACCATTTGAGAACCAATCAATGTGTTCCTTTTCCAGGCAACCAAAACCTCATGTCCTGGATATGCAAGGAAAACACAGTCGTGCCTCTTTTGCCTGGCATATGAGTGATTTTGAGGACACTGATCGGAGAGATTCCAAATGGGCTACTCTTGTTAGGCAGAGTAAGTCACTAACGCCAAGAACTTCCGAGCTGTCTAAGCTGCCGAAGCTACCAAAAAAGGAAAAGGTACAATTTTTTGCTTTTCTAAATCGTTATAGAAAATGTCAGCCTGTTTTAACATATAAACTGGGGAGGGGTTTTTCATAGTAATACTAAGTTTGATAGCTTCTTTTAAACCATCGAAGCATTTTGTAATCCATATTGGATTGCCACAGTGATGTTTATTCAGTGGGTAAGTGGGCATCATTCCCCTTTTATAGTTAAAACAAGAGGTTGCATCCTCAGAATTTCTTATCACTGGGTTTGACCTTGAGATAACAGCCATCCCTGTGATTTCCAAGAACTGAGAAAGCATTGTTTGTGAAATGGAGGTAAATCTGTAACTCCCCTCAAAACCCTCACAGACTGGTTCACAGAGCAAACTTATACCCATTTGAATGCTAGGATTTCCCCTAAACCACTTATGGAATCGTGGGCAAGCTGCCTAACTCCCTGTATGGGTTTTTATAAGTGAAATGGGAATTTTGGTATCTGTTCTGAATATTTTACAGAGTTATGAGGAGAATTAAGTAAATAATGTGGAAGTATATACTCAACAACTATTTCCTGAGGTCTGCGTACGAACCATTTGCCAATAATAGCTTTCTGCCTAATCCACAGCACAATGAACTTTGCAGGCGTCCAGTTTTCTCCATAGAGTTTGGCAGCAAATTTTCATGATAGAAAAAGGAATAGAATCACTCAGGCCCATTCAGACTCCTATTCCCCACACATAGAAAGACTTCTTGCTCTTTTGGAGAATCTTGCCAACTGCCTAGAATATTACTCACCCTCTGTTGCCAGAGATCTGATTCATTAGCAAGTAATTATGTCTACTTGAGACATTCTGTGAGGAGGGAGACTTAGTTGTCCGCCTCAGTAGATGCTGACCTTAGGAATAGTTCATATTGAAAAAGGGAAGAGTTCAACAAATAACATTTCTATGTAGTCTGAATTTTGGGATAGGTCCAAATGAAGTGATTTATTGCAGTGTGTGGAGGAGGGCTTGGATTAGTTACTTTCTGTCACTGAACTAATTTTGTGTCAGATTAGAGCTATTATGGATTAAATTATCCCAAACGCCTCTATCATTCACCAAATCCAGTTGAGGTATTTTTTGCATTAAGAAAGTCTGTTAAAAGACTTCTTATTTTGATTTCAAATTTGTAGAGCAAGTTGTAACAGCAGTACAAAGAACTCTTGATATACTCTTTCCCCAGCCCCATCTGTTGTTCATTTCATTCGCTTTAGGGTTTGCTTTCTTGCTCTCTCTCTTGCACCATTTGAGGTCAAATTGCAGACATGATGCCCCCTAACTTCTCTTGTCTTTTTTTCAGAGATATGGTGGTCTCACTATGTTGCCCAGGCTGGAGTGCAGTGGCTACTCAATGGGCACAACCACAGTGCACCAGAGCCCTGAACTCCTGGGCTCAAACAATCCTCCCACCTCGGCCTCCCGAGTAGCTAGGACTATAGGCACAGACCCTATGGATTAAATGGTCTATAGGCTAAACCCTTCACTCCTAAATATTTCAGGGTGTATTTCCTAAGAACAAGGATGCTCTCCCACACAACCACAGTACAATGTATAAAATTCAGGAAATTTAACATTGATACAGTGTATTATTATCTAATCTAAAGTTCATAGTCGTATTTTCTTAAATAGCAGATGGTGGTGGTTTGCACCTATAATCCCAGCACTTTGGGAGGCTAAAGTGGAAAGATCACTTGAGCCCAGGAGTTTGAGAGCAACCTGGGCAACATAGTGTGACCCTGTCTCTATGAAAAATATAAAAAATCAGGCAGGTGTGGTGGTACATGTCTGTAATCCCAGCTACTCAGGAGGCTGAGGTGGGAGGTTTGCTTGAGCACAAACCTTCAAGTCTGCAGTGAGCTATGATTTTGTCACTGCACTCCAGCCTGCATGACAGAGAGCCTGACTGTCTTAAATAATAACAACAGCAACAACAAGGTATTAACTGATAACCTTTGTTATATCCTGATCCAGGATTCAATCTAGGACCATGTATTACATTTAGTCATCACGTCTCTTCAGTCTCCTTCAATTTGGAAGAGTTCCTTAGTCTGGTCTTTTATAACATGGACATTTTTGAGGAATGTAAATGGGCTTGTCTGTTGTTTCCTCAGGAGTGGGTTCAGGTTACGTGTTTTTGTCAGGAATCCCAGATAAGTGATGTAGCTTTGTGCTCAGGGCATCACATCAAGAGGCACCTGAGGCTGGTTTAACCCATTATTCATGAGAGTAAGTTGAGCACTTGGTCATACGCCTTTCCATTCCAGAAATGAACAACATACTGAATCATTCAAAATAATTTCTCTTTTTATCAATGAGGCTTTCTTCTAAATTTCCAGAGATACATTAGATACTTGTCACACAAGTTCATTTTTTGGGCTATCCTGCAGAGTTTGTGTGGATGCTTCAATAAATACTCAATCCCTCTTTTACATGAATCCTCTTCAGGGAAAATAAATTGGAACAAGTGCTCTTATATATTCAAGAGCAAATAATGAATACCACATGTGAAAAGCCTCCAACGCAATGCCTCACACATAGCTGCCAATGAGTGGCTATCATTACTATTCTTACTTGAGATGCCAACACATTTTCCATTCTTATGCTGCAAGAATCAGAACCATGCACTCTGACCTCAAGTGATCCACCCACCTTGGCCTCCCAAAGTGTAGGGATTACAGATGTGAGCCACGGCTCTCAGCCTAGGCTGACCTTTAAATAAAGAAGTGACGGTTAAATTTTCATTTTAGAAAGATGGAGGCATCAGCTGGGAGGACTGATTAGAGCTGCTTGATTATGAAAAGGTGGTGTGTTTGGAAGGCATTTTGATAACTCAATTGAGAACCAGGAAGGATTGTTGTAAGGCAGAAAGAAAGGCGCAAAGGTAATGCATTTGAGACATAAGGAAGGTTGTTTCGACAGCTCTCAGTGCTGACTAGACGTGGGAAAAAAACTTGTTATTGTGGGAAGGAAGGACATAGAGGCTGAACCCTCAGATCTCTGTGAGGTGGTGGGGAGTGGGAGCCAGGTGGCAGTGTGTAGAGAATGAATAGGAAGCAAAGAAGTGAAAGGCAAGTAAACCTCTCTAGAAAATGTTTAGCTCTCAATAAAGGAAAGACAGGATAAAAAGAGGGGGCATAGGAGAAGGAAGGGCTTAATATAAGGGGATTTAAAATATATATATTTTGAGTAGAAAAAAGTAAATTGAGAACCTAAAGGAGAGGGAAAGGGATAACTGATGGTTTGAGATCCTCAAGAAAAAAGAGGGAGAGGCATAACTTATAGGAATTAGTACGTAACTGTAGGGATGAATCTTTATAGGAAGGGAACTCTTTTCCTCCCCACCTGCCCCTGCTTTTTTCTTTTTTCTTTTTTTTTTTTTTTTTTTGAGACGGAGTTTCGCTCTTGTTACCCAGGCTGGAGTGCAATGGCACGATCTCGGCTCACCGCAACCTCCGCCTCCTGGGTTCAGGCAATTCTCCTGCCTCAGCCTCCTGAGTAGCTGGGATTACAGGCACGCACCACCATGCCCAGCTAATTTTTTTGTATTTTTAGTAGAGACGGGGTTTCACCATGTTGACCAGGATGGTCTCGATCTCTTGACCTCGTGATCCACCCGCCTCGGCCTCCCAAAGTGCTGGGATTACAGGCTTGAGCCACCGCGCCCGGCCGGCTTTTTTCTTTTTTGAGTCGGAGTCTCGTCCTGTCACCCAGGCTGGAGTGCAATGGCACGATTTCAGTTCACTGCAATCTCCGCCTCCCAGGCTCAAATGATTCTCCTGCCTCAGCCTCCAAAGTAGCTGGGATTACAGGTGCCTGCAACCACGCCCAGCTAATTTTTGTATTTGTAGTAGAGATAGGGTTTGACCATGTTGGCCAGGTTGGTCTCGAACTCCTGGTCAGGTGATCCACCTGCCTCAGCCTCCCAAAGTTCTGGGATTACAGGCATGAGCCACCATGCCTAGACTTTTCCTCCACTTTTAATAAAATGTTACCTTCTTCCTTCTCAGAGGGTTGCTTCTGTTTTTCAGTTCTTTTTAACACATATTCAGAGACTATGTGACATCTATGTCAACCTTTATGGGATAATTCTCAAATTGGTAGGGTTTATTATGTTAAAGGTATTTGCTTGAAAGTCTACTTCCTGTAACTTGGAATGATGATTTTTTTAATCCTATTCAACTCTATTTTGGGTTATTGTGCCATATCATTGGGCTGATCTCCTAAGTACCTGTATCAGTCAGGGTTTTCCAGAGAAACAGAACCAATGCTGTGTGTGTGTGTGTGTGTGTGTGTGTGCACGCACAGGCACACAAGAGCTGGGAGAGGTGTTTAGGCTTAAAGTAACTTTAGAGATGTTTTATTTTGGCTCCAGTGATTGTGGAAGTTGGCAAATCCAAATGCAGCAGGGTGGGCCAACAGGGCAGAGACCCTGGGAGGAACTGATGCTGCAGCTCGAGCCTGAAGGCAGTTTGCAGGCAGAATTATCTCTTCCTGGGGGAACGTCAGTCTTTCTCTTAAAGCCTTCAACAGATTGAATGTGGCCTACCACATTATGGAGGATAATCATTTTTATTCAAAGTCTAATGACTTAAATATTAACTCACATAAGAAATACCTGCATAGCATCATCCAGATTGGTGTTTGACCAAATATCAGAGTACTATAGCCTAGCCAAGTTGACACATAAAATTAACCATCACAGGCTAGGCCTGGTGGCTCATGCCTATAATCCCAATGCTTTGGGAAGCTGAGGCAGGAAGATCGTGTAAGTCCCAGAGTTCAAGACCAGCCTGGGCAACAGAGTGAGACCCTGTCTCTACAAAAAAAAATTTTTTTTTTGAATTATTATCTGGGTGTGTTGGTGCATGCCTGTAGTCCCAAGTACTTGGGAGGCTGAGACAGGAGGATCACTTGAGGCCAGAAGTTTGAGGTTACTGTGAGGTATGACCATGCCACTGTACTCCAGCCTTGGTGACAAAGACCTTGTCTCTTAAAACAGAAAACAAACAAAAATCCTAACCATCACAGTATCCCTCTCTCTCATCCATTATGAGGATTAAATCAGGGTAACATACAAAAAACACCTGACAGAACGGTCCAGGCACTAGGCATCTAAAAAGCACTGTGGTGTGCACATGTGTTTAAATCCTTTTATAGATGGCATGGTTTTAAAGCTGTTTCACCCAAGTGCACAGTGGGGAAACCAACCTTGGGGAGCTGAGCATGCAGGAAAAGGAAAAAAAAAAAAAAAGCTTCTGGAAAAAATACTTGAAATTTTCATTTATCAGCAAGGATTTTGAAACCTCTACTGTAATTTCTCCATGGTCTTTAAGATAACATAACTCAGTATGGCTTACGTTGGGACCAACAGTTGCACTCAATGGCATATTTTTTCCTGAGACCAGACGTATCAGTGGACATCGTCCCTTTTCAGAGCAAATATTTTATAATGTCACCTTTATTACCCTAAAATAAAATTTACAAATGTACTCAATTTATATCAAACCAATATAAGTACCCTATTGTAATTTAAAATAAATGTAAAAGTAATTTATAATACTACTTTAATCCATAACTATTAGGGCACTAGATTAGAAAATACAATGAAGTAGACAGATGAAGTAAGCATCCATATACAGAGTCTTCATGAATGCAGTAGCTATGAATGAAGACCGATAGTGCTGTATTGGTGACTCAAATCCCATGGGTACCATAGCTGTTGGTAACATAGTTTTCCAAAAGTCAATTCTCGGTAAAGACCAAGTGACCACTTCTTGTTAACATTCTAAACCTTACAAAGTAAAAATCTTCCCTTAATTTATACAACAGCTGCATTCCTGGAGAATGCATTATGTACTAAAATCATGTTAAAATACATTGTATTATGTACAGCAGAATTATCAGATCATTATAAATGGGCTTTCTTAGCCACATAAATGTCCAGCAGGGCACTGAAGGGTTACACAGGAGGTGGGACAGTTTCTCGTCCCGTGGGGCTGTCTCTCGTGGTGCAGGACATTTTACCTGTCATCTGAGCTCCCACCTTCTCTGTGCCAGTAATCCTAACTTGTCATTATGCTAACCAAAAATGTCCCTGCATTTCCAAAACACCCTGGTTGAAACCACTAACATATATAATTGGCTTGTTTTCAGCATGAATTATTAGAAATGAGACCTCTGTATTTGATTAAATGTAACAAGCAAATCACATGTAGCACCAGGAAAATGTTCAAGATAAATTCAAAAGGTTTATTGCACCAAATGCCACAGAAAAATGGATCAAAATAATAAACAAGTTTTAAAAAAATTCCCACACAATGACATTGGTATCTATTCAAACTGATCAAAAACGAAGTCCTATCAATTTCTCTCATGGAGCGTCAAATAACAAATTCCAGAATTCTCTCTTTTTTGAAATGCCACTTAAATTTAAGCATATTGCAATCTCGCTTTCAACATATATGGTTCATCATGTTTTGACATTTAAAAATTAACATTCAGAGGGGACAGCTTGATTTAGGCAAAAATTATATTAAAATACCCTCTCCTCCAAGCACAATAAAAAACAAATTGTTCACATTTACCAAGAGAAGCTGAAGACATTTTCATTTTAACAGCGAAAGTATGCATGAACAAAATACTCTCAAAAGTACATAGTAGTGGAAAAATCCAGACGTTTAAAAGAATTTTGGGGTCATTTTATATTCTGTATTTTTATGTACAACCAACTCTAGTGAAGAACCTAAAAAGCTACAGGCTAAATTTTTATAAAATCTCAGGACCTAATTACAAGAGCCCAAACAACAGTTTAGTATCATTTAGCAAGCCGGGGATTTTTTTTCTCCCTCCAAAAAAGTTAATTTTGAAAAATATGGTTAAGTTTAAAAAGTTGCGATGTGTAAACGGCAGTTCCATGGGATGTGAAAAGATTATAGTTACTTTCATTAAAAAACAGCACACTTCAGAAAAATGGATTGAAGCCTGTACAAAAAGCTATTTAACACTGATAAAAAATAAAATACTTTGGAATTATGCACAAGTATGGAAGCTACATTTTAATTTTTCATTGTCATAGTCTAAAACGTACACAATTACCTTTACATTCATTTCACTTATCAATTTATTAAAAATAAAACTGCAACATGCTAGAAAGAGGTCCATCACAGGGACATTTACAGACTTCTGCTCTGTCATGCCTCACTAGCTTGCTTTGAAAAGCAAGATGCTACAAAAGTTACACTCAACAGGTAAGACTTAGTAAGTTGAAGAAACCCTAAAGGTGGAATCCTGTCAACTGAGGTAGATTTCTTTTCTTTTTTAGAAAAATTTTTATTTTTTCTTGAGGTGGGCATGGGAGTGGGTGGGATCCCTTTCTTGCCTCTGCGGTTAAGCCAGAATGAAGCCACTGGGTGGTGCAGGATGTGTGAGCGGGTGGATCTCAACACAAGTCCACGAGTTGTTTTCTTTTTCGCTTTTAGGAAGAGGTTGAATTTAAGACAAAGAAACTTGAATGTTAAATATTTAAAGGATTATAAAAGAGCAGCAACATTCTTGGTCTATTTTTGTAGGCAATAGATATGAGGATTAGGTTCTGACTGGAATCCTGAGTGTTGTGGAGACAGCCCCCACACGTGACCCACCTGTTTTCCAACAGGCATTTTTCCAAGAGTGAGTTTTGGAACATTAAGAGGCAAATTAAATTTTCTCAGGCTTTGAGGGATCTGGGCTGAAGTTTTTTTTTGATGTATAGAGTTTAGAACAAACCATTTAAAGCTCAGTGTCCCCTAATATGGGTCTAATTATCAACATGCCACTATGTCCACATTAGAATTGAACTGATTTTGTAACAAGTTATTTTCTATGAAACCCTGGAAGGTGGTGAATGAGGGAAAGTGCCCAAAAACATGTAAACAAGAAAAAAGGAACGGGAGACGAGGGGAACGCTTTAAACTGTAAAAGCTGTAACATCAGCTCTGACAGTTAACACGTAATGAGAAATGGATGTGGGGTGAGCTGAGCCACAGGTGAGGTTCCTTCTCTCTCTAACACAACAGCAAACAGTGATGTCATGGAACTATAGAACACCAAATTCAAATGCTAGGCAAAAGGAAATAGGAAAACGTTAAAAAGAATGAACATTTCCATTTTCAATGAATGACATAAAATGAAAATTAACGATCTTACAAATCTTTTTTTTTTTTTTTTTGAGACGGAGTTTCGCTCTTCTTACCCAGGCTGGAGTGCAATGGCGCGATCTCGGCTCACCGCAACCTCCGTCTCCTGGGTTCAGGCAATTCTCCTGCCTCAGCCTCCTGATCTTACAAATCTTAATATACTTATCTACATTTTGCATCATTAAAAAAAAGGGGGAAAGGTAGCAGTTCTGATTTTTATCAAATAAAAAAATTGAAGTCATTCTAGTCCCTAATAGGGAAGTTACTTCACATTTCTTAGGTACAAAGATACATGAAAAGAACTGGAATTCATAAAACAGTGGAAGGGAATCGGAGCCTATTCAAGAACCGCAAAGTGCTAACGATGTTTAGCTTTGCTAGATTAGCTCCTTTTAATGGCCAATTTTTTAAAGTCTTTTACTTTACCCTGGATATCAGTACATAGTCTGTTTCGCGGTCAGTAAACTAAACTTTCTTTTATATTAACAGATTTTTTTTTGGGGAAATAATTCATTTTGGTAGGTTTTATACAATGCGTAAGTTAATTTCTGGAAAAATGTTTTGAAAAGGACGTAGGAATTAGAAGGCACAGAAATGATAATGTAAAAATTGAGATCATATATGGATTTTTTCTACATGTTCAAGCTAATTGTTTTCATTAGTCATCCTGAACTGTTGCAGGTTTCCTTTCCCACCAGGACAGCTGTGCCTTTTAAAGTGTAAATAGTTATTTGTATTAGCTATAAGAAAAAAGTGGCTTCAGCTGGAAGAACTTACCAACAGAAACACTCTTGAGCTTATAGAAATAACTTTGGTAAATGGCCTCTCTTAAAAAGGCTGCTGAAAGCTCTAAAATATAAGGATAAAACATGTGGTTTCAGACTGTACACTTTGCTGCTACAAACTACATCTTGATGGGATTAAGAGGCTACATTGATTCTTGGGTTTATTGCACCAACAATCTATCTCTGACCTACCTGTGGCAGCATCTGAAACAAGGTAAACTCCAAGAAGAAATGAAAACAGTGGGTCCCTAAAGCACTCTTCCCAACAGGCAATTCTTTTACATGTTTTATGTCAAATAGTCACTGCTACCGCCACTGGAGCTGAAGATGGCACAGTGTGGCTTTCTTCATTTCACCTTGTGTAAAAGGCAAACTCTGACCTGGAATCCAAAGTCTGTGTTCTGACAGACGTCTAAGAATAGCAAAGTATGTTTTCTCCAGTTTGGGGAGCTCATGCTCAAACCTGGAAGCAGTTTCCTACTGGAATGTTATGTACACTGTCGACCTCCCCGCTCAAGTCACTTGTCCTTATTCTGCCCAAACAGCACAAGGCAATCTGTCCCAATAGCTTAGTGTTTAGTGTAGTGCTTATGTTTCCTTCTACCAAAAAGGTCTCTTTGTTGATTCATGGGTAGCAAATGGCCTGAAGTGTTCAAGACAATCACAAATGCCATTATGTCAAGTAAACCTAAGTCTTCAATGAAGCATCAGCTTGACAGCAAAAACACAAAACAGAAAGGTGGAATGACTGTTTCTGTTTGCTCTTCTCATGCTTTTGACATCACAGAGAGCTTATTCCTTTCTCCTTCCGTTGAGAATTTGATTTTTTTCTTCCAAGGAAGAACTATCCTGAGCTTTAGCTTATAAGAGTATTTGAGCCACATAAGGAGAATGAGTACTGGCAATAGCAGTCAACAGAGGCAGGTCGTTGGATTCAATCCTGAATATTGAGAAAAGAAAAGAATATTACTTTAAAATAGCATGGTTTTATGAGAAAGCGTTATTTCTAGGTACCAAGTTTGATAGATTATCATTTAAAACTAATGAAAAAGCAAAACAGATGGAAGGATAATAAACTTATTCTTTTCATAAAATATTCCAGTGGACACTGACCAGGGAGGCAAAGGGAGAGAAATACAGGAAGTGTGTTGTGCCTGTGTGAGACATAAAGCTCTTTTTTCCATGGCAGGGGCCACCAGACTTTCTCACTTTCCTGTATTCCCTGTATAACTTCATTGTATCATACTTTAAGGTTTTCTTATTATAAACTCATTCTTCCAGTCAACACTCCTAAATGCATATTGATTTTTCACCTAAGGTCAAACTGCTGTTAGAAAAATGGTGATAGTAGCAATTTCTTAAACCTTAGGCATGTGTTCAAAGGTTATACGACTGATATCCTCACAAGATTCTGAGAGCAAGGTGACACTAAAAGATACCGAGTTAAGAGACATCACGGTTTCAAATGGACACAGCGTTGGCTGCCTCTTCCAGCTGAGGTGGATACAGTATGGGCACTGGCTAAATGATGTCAGGTGTCATAAAAAAAAGTCAACTGTTTCAGTCTGTGGAATGTGTCCTAATTCTTTCCCTTAAATTTCTCAAAATAATAAAAAGTAAAACAGTATCTGGCATCACTTCATGGGGTTTTCTAGTCCTTCTCCAGTAATGCTACGTACAGATCTGATTTCAGAGTGGACAGAAGTTCTCTAGCACTTTTAAGAGGAGTAACAGAGCACCACCAGCGTAAACCCCTGTGATTGTGGGTATGAAGCCCAGTATCAATCAGATACAAGGAACATGCTGTTCACTTGGGGAGCTGCAGAGGCACGCATCTAATGGATTCCACATACTTTGATGGGTGACCAGGGCCTGAGTTTAGGTTGGTACAGGCTAAACACATCAGTGGGTACAATGCTAGGGATGCCCATCAAAGGGAGACGTGGCAGCACTTCACAGAACTCACCCCAGTACGACACCTAATTCTTTCACATGGACTCGCGTGTGTCCCCGGAGATATTCAGACAGCATTTTGCTTTTAAGGTACATCTCCTGTAGTCTGTCTTCAAGATGCATGATGCACTGCAAAGCCAAGAACATTCATAATGAGGAAGTCAAATATCTGCCAATATTTTAAGAATCTTCTTAATTCATTTCTAACTACCCAGTTTTAATCTCATCTGTTTCAAATACACTTAAAAAATAACAAGCCATCACAAACCCTGCCACTACCAGGTAGAAGAATCGGTTCTTGTAAAACAAAGCTTACTTTTGCTAACTATTAAGATTTACATATATATTATTCTGGTCTTTTTAAACAAGTATTTTTTCATAGTTGAAATCATTCCAAAAGTACATTCCTTGCCTTTAAAAACTTTATAATAATCCTTTTCCACATTATTAAGAACTCTTTATTGATATAATTTTTATAGCTAAACAATCTTGAGAATGTAAATTTACACTTACCCACATAGCAATTTGCATTTTTGTTCTTATAAATAATTTAGTAAACAGTATCTCTTTTGTTGATTTTTTTCCCCCAGTATCTCAGATTATTCTGGCCCAACGCATTTCCACAGGAGACTGACTGGAACAGGTCATTTTGAACCTGCCCCACAACTTTTTTTTTTTTTTTCTTTTGCTTCAAGAATGTATTTTAACTAGGTCTTTAGTAACAATAAAGAAAAGGCAATTATTTTCAGGACATCTTTACCCTTGGAATGGTGTTCTGTTGCATTTTTTAGGGACTAGCAGCCATCTGTGTCTTTCACCAGAGGCAAATACTTTTGCATTTGGCAGGCAGAGCTACCCAAGCAGCTTCATAAGACACCTGATGGCTTTGGCAAGGGTAATTCCATCATACATAATTTTCTTCTAGACCATTAGGCCTGTTATTTTCAAGGTAAAATGATTAACAGATGCATTTGAAAATGTTGATCTTGACCATCTGGGCTGATCAGTGGCATGGAAAAATATCTATGAGAGATGCAATGTTTTCAGTTTTTCATTGGTTTAAAATCTTAAATGCATCGTGTCAGGTGGATGAAACACAACTGCTAAGTGACTAAGAGTTATAAAGCAAGAGGGATTTCACCAATTCTCATAGAAATGCTCCTCCAAGTAAACAAAGTGGTGAAAGGATCTCTAATTAGCTTTTAGTTCCTTATGGAATGAAACAGAAAAATTTCAATAAGAGTTACAAAATATTAAAAAGTATTCATATTATATTGAATCCTTTCTCTTTTGACAAAGTAATTACAGTGTTTACAGTCTGTATGAAAACTGTATGATGCAATGTGGAAATAAGAACTCTGGTCTATATGAATACATACTAGACATGAAATCCAAGCATTTAGACAACTTTTAGCCAGGCACAGTGGCTCATGCATGTAATCCCAGCACTTTGGGAAGCTGAAGTAGGAGGATCACTTGAGTCCAGGGGCTCGAGACCAGCCTAGGCAACATAGTGAGACCCTGTCTCTACAAAAATTAAAAAATTACCTGGTCATAGTGGCACATACCTGTAGCCCTAGCTACTTGGGAGGCTGAGGTAGCAGAATTGCTTGAGCCCAGGAGGTCAAGGCTGCAGTGAGCCAAGATCACACTACTGCACTATGGCTTGGGTAACAAAATGAGACTCTTGTCTCAAAACAAACAAACAAACAAACAAACAAAAAAACCCATTAAAAAAAATACTTGAGTATTAAATTGAACCGTGCCCGGGGCTTTTTAACTCCCTTTTCTGGGATTTTATTCCTGAGATGGATTTCTCCAATTTTTAATTTCTAAAATTTCAAATAGCTACTTTCTCTTTTTGTACTGAAGGTTCTAAAAGCCATTTAAATCACAGGTTTCATTCAAGTGATTTTTTTTTAGGTGAATTTTAAATTGCAGATAAAATTTTCTTTAATCTTGGTTTTGTTAGGTTAAATAAGGCTTTCATACTACTAAGTGCTTGAACATACTTCTGTCCAAATGAAGTAAAAAGAATTAACTATTATAAGAGTTTATTGCTTTGATAACCAAGATGCCAATTATGACAAGACCTATGTATCATACAATGAAATATAAAAGTTTGGCAGATACTTATAAGAAACTATGAAGTCTAATATACATTCCTTCCCTTACAGAAAAGGAAACATTAGCCTCTAAATCAGCATAACTCAACCTGCTTCTAGAAGGAAAAACTGCCTACAACTGTAGAATGAAAAATAAGATCATAATAATCCATAAATGCTTCTCATATTGCCCCAGGACAGATGTCTTACAAAAGTATGCTTCAGCTTAAAATACAGAGTTTGGAAAATAAAGAGAGTGTAGAAAAAAAGGTGTTGTCAGTCTTTGCAATCATTCATGAAACTAATTGTTATTAACTATCATACTAACAGTAGCTGTTTACTGACTGCTTATAACATCTAGCACCATTCCAAATGCTCTACATTAATTCTCTAATATAATTTCATAACCGTATGAGATGGGTTCTATTATTTCCCCAGCTTTGCAGATAAGGAAATTGAGGCTTTGAAAGGTTACATGGTTAGGAAATAGCAGAACTTGTATTTAACTCCAGGCTATTGGACTCTAAAGCTAACATATATGGCTTTTAAAGTATCTTATATTGGCATGGTGCTTTGGTAGTAAAAAGCAGTTATCATATTCCTAATTTTCAGAAGATTCTCACAGCACCCTTGTTGAACAGGTACTATCTGCCTTTTACAAATAAGAAAGCTGAGGTTCAGAGAGTCTCAGGATTGTCCATTGTAACACAACTAACCAATGGCAAAGCCTAGACCATAACCCAGCTACGCAGTGTGGTCCTCCTGCCTTGCCACACTGTCAGGACTTTGATAACAACTAGACGGTATTCAGAGCACCTTCTTCAAAGCCATAAAAGTCTTGACTCTTCTTGAGGAATGGGTACACGTATGGATTCAGTCATAAAAACCCAGGCCAGTGACCATTGCATTAGCAATTAGCGTAGGTAATTAATGTTCAAAAGCTTCCTGCTTTGTTGGGTAAACAGGTTTGCATCATTTTTGGAGGCCAGGAGGCAGATAACAGATATTCTGGTTTTGGGCTGTGCTGCAGAGAACAGCGCTATGCAGATGGGAGGGAAGAGCAAAGAAAGCAGACTCTTTCCTCACACACCTGTCTCTGAGGTCAGCCCATCCAAGCTTTAACTAACTGTATGCCATATGCCTATAAGCTTCTCTCTCTCTCTCTCTCTCTCTCTCTCTAAGTGTTCATCATCATTAGAAAAGCTTTTCTTCTTTTGAAACCTTTCCCCCTCCCTCTCTAAATGTATTTTCTCTTTCTTTCAATTTCTCGGCACATACACAGATTTGGAAAAGATTTTGTTGTGGATGTTAATTCCAGTGGCTAGCAGGGAGCTACTGACAGTTTTCTAAGAGTCTATAGGCTCTGTTTGTTGTTTGTATTTAAAGCATTGTTACGAAAGTGATTTTAAAATTCCATTTGGAAAGAAACAATTAGGTCAGGTGCGGTGGCTCACACCTGTAATCCCAGCACTTTGGGAGGCAGTGGTGGGCAGATTGCTTGAGCCCAGGAATTCGAGACCAGCCTCAGCAACACGGCAAAACCCGTCTCTACAAAAAATACAAAAATTAGGTGGCATGATGGCACATGCCTGTGGTCCCAGCTACTCAGGAGGGTGAGGTGGGAGGATCGCTTGTGCACAGGAGGTGGAGGTTGCAGTGAGTGGAGATCATTCCATTGCATCACTGCAGCCTGGGTGACAGAGTAAGACCGTGTCTCAAAAAAAAAAAAAAAAAAAAAAAGCAACAATTGATATTATGTGTGTATAGTACTTCAAAATTTGAAATGTTTACACAAAGAATACTCTATTTTATCCTTAACATCTTTGTGAAAATGTTCACTTAACAGAAGGAAGTACAATCCCTTCAGAAACTGGCCTACTTACTATAATACCAGTCTAATAAAAGGAGAACTCATGAGTTCTCCAGTGGATGATTTACAATTTCCTTTTATGCTTGATCTCTTCACGCATTCCTTATTTACTGCACTGTATATCTTGTTCCAAAAAATTCCTACTCCTTATTATTTGTTTCATGGAAGAGCTATTACTGAAATCTATCCTGTTGCTGGTCTTATGTTGCATGTTCTAGTTTTAGTTATGCTAACCTCCAATAAACTTTTGAGTTTGTGATTGTATAAGCAAAATGTCATTAAAAGTATTTTAAAACTGTATTTCTTTGGTAATGTAAGAACCAGTACTTACAAAATCAGCAGGGAGGTGAAGCTTGTAGAGCTGTAAGATGGACTGAAGCAAACTGGACACCTGACTAGAGACCAGGACATCCTGGCCTAGTTTCATGTTGTCCGTCACTTTCCTCTGACTTGTAGCTACCTGCACACTCCATTTATCCGTGTCTGCGATAATACAGACGGCTTCGGCTATTGGCTCATCCAACACTGGATGCTGAAAGAGAAACACAGTAGGTCAACTTCCCACCATACCTCCAAGTGACGCTCAGAATGTCCGCAGTCTTTTTGTTTAGCGTTACACTAACATTTTAGAAGTTGAAGGTAGGAGCTACAGAAGTTTGGAGCTTTATAGGGACTCAAATAGGAGTGTCACTAAATCATTATTTTAAATTAATTTCATAAAACTGCATTTAATCCTTTTTTTCCTTACACCTAGGAGGTTTGCTATAACTGTTGTTAAATGTTCACAGAAAGCAAAAAGATACATGCCCTCGCTACAGTTCAGGATATTAAAATTCATTTCTTTTTGAAAGGCTGCACTCTCCTTTGAAAATGGGGAAAGTGTACCTAAGGTGTAGGATATTCCATCCTCATTTCTCTAATAACAAAGCTAGGCAGGATAACTGAGTATTTCCTTAAAATTACAGCTTTAATCATGAAGCAAAATTGGGTAATTGTGTGTGCTACATACACAAATCATCTCTAATAACCATCTAAAATCACCAGGTGAATCCAAAAAGTCAAAGTTTCACTACTGATAAATACACTTAAAATGTAAAATTCTTGACAGCTGGGCAGTTATGAATACAGCAGATTTAACAACTGGTAAATTGTGCCATAGAGTAAATAGGGTAAACATTGAAGCCGTCACAAGGACTTTTTAAAAAAATCTAATTTCTCAAAACAAAGTGTAA